TTTAAAATGGCTTTTTTATTTCCTCTATACTTAACAAACGAGAAATATTGCAACAAAACATGGTTCATAATTTCCTAGATTGTGACCTACTTGAACACTTGATCTGTAGTGACTAGAATCTAATTTCTCCTTACAATATCACCCCTGAATCACATATTAAGGTCACGGATATAAACAAAATGATCACCAACTAAAGAAGCTCTTGATTGTTGAACAAATTATCCTTGTCAGCGCCTTATAGGAAACATTTAGAGAGCAGTGTGGGGAATATGCATACTGATGTTGATAGGTAAAGGGTTAACTAGCCACTACTTTGCCAAATTATGGCGGCTCTTTTTGCTTATAGAAGTAAGTTCCACGGTATGTGAATCTTCTACTTACACTCTTTTTTGTCTGTCACGTAAAGGGCCCACTCGTGAAAACGATGTGCATGCTGTTTTCTTGAATAAACTTCGAGCATACTGCCTTAAATCCTCTCCATAGACTCCGTATAATATTGGATCCAAGACGGTATTTAGCAGAATCAATAGTTGAGATGCTCGCCATATATAACCGCCATTAGTAAGATGGAAGTAAATCAAAGTGCGAGTGACCATGAAAGGCGACCAACATATTGCAAACGCAACAGTAAGGGTTGCCAATACCTTGGCCACCTTGTAATGCTTCTTGCAACGCATGGACGCCATTGCGTTTGATGTATTTAAGGCAATACTTGAGCGTAAGGATTGAAAAATTCTCTTCTGGACAAATATCATGTAGACAAGAGGTACAAGGAAAAACCAAAATGCGTGAATGGTATAATAGATCTTTCGTGCTAAATCCCCGAAATTGATATTCGTGCAGGAAACGGTTCCAGTTACATCTTTTTGGGTTTGATAAGCATAAATCAAAGGCGAAGCGACGACTGCGCTAACTGACCACACGGTGCTTAACTTTCGTAGCGTATTCTCCCTAGTGATGAGTCTGACACTGAAAGGGTCTACCACAGCCTTGAGACGCTCAAAACCGATAAGAACAAGGGTCATTATGGAAGTGGAGTAACATGCTTCGATGAGGAAGCTTTATAGCTTGCAGGAAATCTCGCTGCCTATCCAGGTCCATAAGAATACTATCAAGTCAAAAATGGTCAGTACCGTAAATGTTAAGTCTGCAAATGCTAAGTTGGCGATGCAACACTTCAAGGAAGACTCTCGTTGTCGTTTTAGTTTGCAGCACAACCAAAGAACAATTGAGTTCCCCACGATTGACGAAAGGAATATTACGAAATAAACGCATGTAAATGTAGCAACAACTTCTATTGGAAATCCCTCACTCGTTGCCATGTGTAGTATATACGACCTCTTCAAATGTTGCTTTAAACGAGCGTTTTGTGCCTTGCTCACAACTGTGTGTTTCCGTGATTGCCAACGACTGTTCAGAATCTTCGCTTATTTCAAACAAACCTGTTTGTCGCTATCAGCTTATGAAGCTTCGCTTAGTCGTTTTGTTCCTGAATGAAAAAGGAGGTAAAACAAACCTGGATTTTACTTTAAAACGGGAATAAATTATAAAGGAAAACATTGTTTGCTGGTCTCAGTCATGTCACAGATGTTCGGTGATGTGTGGAAAAAGAAAAATTGTCTTCATCACTAAGAAAATATGATTAATGCAGTCAGTACTTACCAGTTTGTCATGCATGTATTCGTATTTTATACCACCACAATTAAAGTTTACGTTTCCTTATCAGCCTTTCAAGTTTAAAAAGGTGGCTTGTTTTGAAAAGAATTGTAAAAAAGGCAGTACCATATTCTGGCTGAAAAAAGAATAATCAAAATCAAGGCTTTATTTAGAGAGTTCTGAAGGGGAAGTTGACTTTGAGGAAATTTTATTATAAATTAAGTAGGTGTGAGAACGCATCATCCTTACCCAATCAAGGGTAAAATTCATTAGCAAAGGAGCTTTTAAAATTTGCCTGGCTCGGTTCTTTTATTGAAAGAACTCTGTAACTTCGCTTGTTTTTCCGCTGTGGTTTGAATGTATGGAATGAATCTAGCTTAATTATGAGATCAAAAGAGACCGTTCGGAAAGTTTCTTTACTTTACAAAGCAGCTGTTACAACAGGAAGAATATAGAAAGTTTCTGTGTTTTGCTGACATGTAGATTGGACGTGATCATTAAATTAATTTTAATCATTATGGAAATATCCCTCTATCTTTTAAACTGATCAGAGCTTGACGATATGCATTGTTAATCCTTTCCTTAATTACATGCGAGGTGCCAAATCTGAATGCAACGGATCTGATGCAGTAGAATAATCGTTCATCCTTCATCCAAAACAATTAAAGGTTATTTCTGCACCTCGTGAAAGTGCTTAGGTGTAAGCTTATTTAAAAAAGCCGTGAATTTCATGGTAAACCTCTGCAAGTTCCAAATTTAAAATTTAGATTTAAAAAGATCGAAAAGAACTGCGGCTGATAGTTTCTAAAGAAACTGTTTGGGGCTGCGTCGGTGGGGGTAACAAAATAATTTGGATATAACAACAAAGTTGAAATGGTAAATTGGCCACCGTAGCGATTACAAAAGCTGACTTTTCGAGCATTAGCCCTTCGTCGGAGCGAAAAGAACTGAGTTGCAAACTGTATTTCATTACGCTGTGGTAGTTTTAAGATCGATAGGAATGCGAACTGAGAAAAGAACTGAGTTGCAAACTTTATTTCATTACGCTGTGGTAGTTTTAAACTCGATAGGAATGCGCGCCTGCAGGCGTGAAATGTTTCCTCGGGATTGAGTAAGATTTTTGTCAGAATTGAGTTGCGCACTTCAGTTCATTACGTGGCAGTATTTTTAAACTCGTAACGAAAACAAGCCTGATCAGAATCTTTCACGAACCTTTCACGCCCCTGATGAAAATGCATGAAATCTTTTAACGTTAAAAAAGTTCTAACTGATGCGAGTTTTAAGTCTCACCCAGTGTGTCTCTAAGCAGTATGTCCGAACCAATAACGTAGATAGATCAGTGATATCACGGCCTGAACCGTCGTGCACAAACTAAGGCAAGTCCCATCTTCCGTTCTAACTTTCGGTTGACCTGTTATTCCGAGAAGCACTTACTTCAAATCCGGCTTGTTTTAGAGCGAAAACTTAAACGGATTCAGCGACGGTAATACCAAAATATTCAAGCGAGTCTCTTCGATGTCTGGGTCCAGTTCCAGAGCGGCCTGTGCGTGGCTAACTTGTAGTGAACTCTTCAGGTAATGAAACCGGCGTAAATCAATTAGAAGCATCAAAATACTGTACAGTTTATCAAATTTTCAGCGTCTACTCGAAGTGTTGAGTTTATACCATTTTCTAGATATTTTTTCTACTTGTGTTAGACTCTATGATTTGTATCAAAGTTACGATAAACGTGCTGTTTAAAATGTTACGCTACTCAAATCATGAACGGCACAATCCTGTACCACTCAACGCCCTAGACGTTTTATAGAAAAATTCATTACTTGACGAGGGAATTCCGCATTAAATTGCACGCGAAAACTGATATCGCACGAATCGTGCGATATCGAAAACGGAAACAGCATTACTTATAGTTGTCATGTGTACGTAGATGCGTAAAATTATCACTTAGCCTCGTTTTCAACGCGCAATTCCACGCAAAATACCTGGCTTCGTTAACCAATCAAAATGCGAGATTTTATTCAATGATGCAATTCTACAATATATTTGTTGACGATCTTGGAAGGTCTTTGTGACTCACGGTATAGTTGCATCTTTCAATGCAGTTGTGAATTACCATGAAAATTTGTCAACCTCTCAGAGATTTTAAATTTGCATTAATTAAAAAGGACTCTTGCACAATGCTGCTGATTGGATTTTTATTTTGGACACTAGTTGCAGTTACTGCTTTCAAGGATTTGGTTATGCTATCCAAACAAATGTTAGAAAAGTACATTATCAAGTGATCGCAGGAATCATTGAACAATGTTTCTAATTATGTAGATCTTGATTTGAAGTCCCCGTTAGCGAAAACTGTAGCCAATCGTGTTCAGTGTTTACGGTGTTTTTACAATTACCCAATTTTATCGAGCTCTCGGCGATAAGGAAAGTACATTATGATGAATTGATTAATTAAATGGTTTGTTCACTATGCCCCAGATTAGATAAGATTCATCAGGTCCTATTGGTCATTTACTAATATATTCCCTTCAAACATGTGATACGATGAAATTACCGTACCTTTTGTGACTTTTGTTGCAAATTTGATTTTGCCTCTAAAATCATATATATCAGTTTGATTACTGTGGACCCACTCGTACTGCAATATTGGATTTTCGTGGGAGAAAAACACCTTTTAACACAAAAGTTAAATCAGATACATATATAAAGACATTGCCAAGTCGTGATTAGACTTATTCGTCTCATTGTATATTGTCTTCGTTTCTTTTCCTATAGCATCAGTTGATGAAATTGTTGATCTATGCAATGAGCAGTACAAAAAGATTGCAAACAAAATGCTGTGCCTGTTCTTCCTTTTGTCAATATTAAACCAAAAACTAGGTAAAATATTGGAGTAGGTGTTGCATTAGCTGAATTAAGAAGACATAGTTTTTGAACAAACATTAAAGTTGCGCTAAAGTTTGAGCCGGTAGCTAGCAAGCACGATATTCGATCGAAATATCTAAACGAACTTTTCATCCAACGTTGTTTTTCTCTTCTATGTCTCAGGTCCCTTATCTATATTGTGTCCTGTTTTCTTTTTCCTCAGTGAAAGTATTTGGATAGAAGGGTAGGTTGTGAAAATTCAATGTCTAAGAACGCCGGTGGATACGTGTTGTAGTGCGTATCAGTAGGGTAAGAGAAATCCATCCGATTTTCCTGAGGCTGTAGGCCTGTGAGCAAGAGAGTATTCTCTCATAATTTTGACAATGTGAATTAAATCTTTGGACCATAAGGGTAATTCCGTCATATTTCTTTCTCCATTCTATTTGAGTGTGACTTTAAAGAAACACACAAGTTATGATTCATGCAGATCATGGAGCATTCCAAAGTTGGTCAGTAGAGGAAAATTACGACCCCACCCAAAATTGTGTCCTTGTGGCTGCCGCAAACACAGTCGTGTCCAGCTGGTTAAATTCTCAAAGATACCTTTCACTCCATAGTATTTCGGTAGAGAGATTTCACTGTGTTATCCTTGTTCTTGTGAAGAACTCTTCGCAGTAGAGACTTTAAATCTCCGTCGTACAATCCGTACAACAAGGGATCTAATCCGGTATTAAGAAAGATTAAAAGTTGAGACGCCCTCCAAATGAGACCTTGTGGTGCTAAACGAAAGTAGATTAGCGTTCGATTAACCATAAAAGGGGACCAACAGATCGCAAATGCTAAAGTTAATGCAGCAAGTGTCTTTGTAGCCTTTTTGTGTCGTCTCTGTGCTCGCGAAGTGAACAATTTGCTTGTTGGTGAAACGCTTGTGCGAAGAGCGATATTTATCCGGATTTGGGTACACATCATGTACAGCAACGGGACCGCAAAGAATATTGTTGTATGCAAGCTGTAGTAAATCTGTGAGGCAATAACTCCATCTCTCGTAGTTATACAAGCATTGTTGCCGTCCACCGTTTTAATGCCGTAGATATGCAGCAAAGGGGTGCACACCAGCAAGCTTAATCCCCAAATTATAACTGGTTTAAGATATTCCCTGTTGAACCAGCCTCTTGCTCTGGCATTAAATGGATCTGTGATAGCTTTTAATCTTTGGTAACTAATAGTTACAAGTGTCATGATGGAAGTCGTGTAGCTCGCCTCAACAAAGAATCCTTGTAGCTTACAAGTGTTGTTTCCACCTACCCAGCGCCACAAATATCCGATCGAGTTAAAAACGGAGAGGAGAGTAAACAGGAGATCCGCCGTCGCTAAATTCACCAATAACCACATGAAAGGTGAATGCCTTCTTCTTAAAGTCTTGTGGCAAGTTAGCAAGACCCATGTGTTGCCAATCGTCGATAAGATGAAAACTAAGATGTAAATTACGAGAAACGACACCGAAGCGGGCGCATCGAAATTGTTACCTACCGCCATTATGGTTAGTGGAAAACAATTGGGCACATTATTTTGGGATTTTTTTTAAGTATTCTTTTTTTTGTCAATTTCCCGAACAATTTAAAGCTGCCTTTTTACACCTTCCTTTCCTAGTTTACCCAAGCAATTTCTATCATTCGCCACAGAAATAGCCAACTGACAATTTTCCAACAAATTCAAACGGTGTTTTGCCAAGACTGCCTTTGGATTTTCTTTTTCCACCGCTTCAAATGCGTTCATTTCCAGTTGTTTGATTTTTATCACGTTTTGTTTTTAGTTCTACACCGACAGCTGCATATTTAAGGTACAATAAGAATACATAAAGAGTGTTAGAATATATCTAGAGCATACTGTCTCAATGAATTGTTTGAAAAAACCGTACAAATTATAAAGCAGTTAATTATAATTGAAAGACGTGCGCACTATCCATACCCAAGACGCCGCTTATAAATTATTAACCTCCTAGCTTCCATGAGAATTTTTTTTTTTTATGTCAATCGAAATACCCCACGAAATACACCACGAAATACACAAGTATTCAACAGTATTTTTCTAACTGACGTAAGCGTTACTTTTGGCCCTAAGAGTTAATTTTAGATAACAATTAATTCTGCCGGTCATCAGTGAAGAGTCGACAGAAACTCTTTAAAAAAAAATAATAAAAATGTGTTTTGTGCAAACTGTTTTATTTGCATTTCGTGGTTGCCATATGCTAAGATGCTAAGAATTAAATTGATTGATGCACCTGTCTCTTTCTTTTCACTGAACAACGGATCAAGACAACTTTCACTAACCTTTTACGCCCGAGTATTCATCGATGCTCGAAGCATTAGAATGAAATTCATTCGGGTGAAAATTGTTCTCTTTCAGCTACTTTAAATTTAGCAGTTTTAAAACCTGATTTCAAGAAGATTTCACGTGATATCAGAATGATTCCATAAGGCTGTAGTCCCTGACCAAACCTGTCAAATTTTCTGAGTATTTTAATAAAATAATATATTTATCGTAGAAACGGAACTGAAAAAAAAAACCGGGTAGTTCTTAAATTTGGGCTTAATTATTAATTCTAAGAACTCAAAGACTACTATAGCCTTAAGGTGAACTTAAGCCCATGCAGTATCCCTTTATCGTTATCGTTGTCTAAACGTATTAACCTTATTTACTTGCTTTTTCCGTTGAGTCCTCCTTTTTAATAAAAAATGATTTAAACTTCAACAGGGATGCTCCCTCAGTACAACTTTTTTTTTTCTTTGCGAGGCAGTGGTAGGGTTGGCTTTTCTACTATAAACATAACGCAGCTTATGTTGGTGATTATCCCGCTTTAGTCTAACTCGTTTGAACCAGTTGTCACATCCAAAAAGCGCGGCTAAACAGTCAGTGGATCAGTTACCGTGGACAATTGCGTAGGAAGATGCTTGACATAAGTTTTAATGTAAGATTGAAATATAAAGAAACCAACGCTTCTCCATCAGTATATGTATTTTTTAAAATATATTTCCTCAGGATTAGCATAACTGTTGTGACAAATGAACTTTTAAAAATGGCGCGACTTCATTTTCTTTTCCACGAAGAACCACTTTCAACGTTATTTTTTATATCGTTAAAACTGTTCATCTTTAACTACCCACCTTGAGTAGTAAGACTCTAAAGTTGGCTTTGCTTCCCTCTCGAAATTGAACCCCAGTCAGAATGGAGATCTGACACAAAAATTACATCAGACCTTGGACATGAAAGTGTTAAAGCAATTAGTTCATGGGCCAGTATAAAACTCGACAACTCGGAACTCTTTCCTGTAAATACTTATCGTGCCCTCGTTACGTACATGGTTCTTATCTATAGGTCCTTTTGTTCTTACAACTTTGCCTTTAATGGCTCTTTCAGGTTCGGATTTTTTTTTTAATCATTTAGTACTTTTATCATCATTTCTAATGATTTCTAATTCTCCTGAAGTACACTCTAATTTCTAATCTAACCTGATATAATGATATTTGTGTGTGTGTGTTTGTTTTTATTTATTTATTTTTTTTTTTTAGTAACTTTGCTCCTTGGTTTTTCTTTAAAAGACCCGAACTGTGAGTTATGTTTTAATAAAAAATCTTTTTAGCGCGGTGTGTTAATGACTATAGTTTGATCTTAGCCTCCACCGGACATTACTTGTTGAAAACTTGATTAGATTTTTACAGTAGCTTGGATAACTTATTACATACAGAAGAATGTAAACACATAAAATGCAGACTTTTTTCAGTTCGTTAGATCCAGCGAAACAAAGAACCCTGAACCAAGTGGACAATTTAATCAAGTTTTTCCATAGGACGCACTAACCACCAGGGTGTAATTGTTAGGCCCAGGTCAAACGCCGTACTTCACATGAACCGAACCTAACGACAGTTTAGGTCGACTCAAATAATTAAAAACGCCTGCTCGAGTCAAACGTCAAATTTAATTCAGTCGAACCGAACTGCTAGACCAAACAAATAACAAAAGCGGTCTTGTTGGTCAGTTGCTTTTCAAGGTAAAGTCAAAATGGCGCCTTTTTGTGGCCTCTTACCCTTCCCGCCATTTCCTCCGAAGCATGTGTTGAGCACTGTGTGCCTTGCCCTAAGGCTTCTTTCGAGTAAGGCACACAATACGAAACAAACTTTCCAGCTTTCCAACCTGGAATATCGTCGTGTTCTTCTGGAAGTGAGCATTTGTTGCACAACGGCTCACTACAACGAAGGCTGCGATATTCCGTCGTGTTCAAACACGACATACAAGAATCTTTATCATCTTCAACACCGGCGCGATAGGCAGCCATGTTGGAAAAAAACTGTGAACGAGGCTCATTTATACATTTAAGGTTAATTCATACTATAACAAGACGTAACTTTGGTTATCGTTTAATTATGCGTTTACTTCGACTCATATGAGGATCGACGTTTGACCCAAAGTCGATCTTCAGGCGTTCTTCACGGCTGGCCAGGCGTGAAGAACGCCTCCGTCAGCCGCTCCAAATAAAATTAGTCGAACTTAATTGGGTCAAACGCCGAACTTCACATGAGCCTAATTGGTTGAATTAGGTTCGGCTCATGTGAAGTACGGCGTTTGACCCGGGCCTTAGGCAAGAAGAAATCTTGTCGTTTATTTTCAGGTTAGACTTCAAAAAATGAATTACATACTTTTAACACCTACGCAGTTTATTGTTTATGTGGGTGTCAGCGAACAGGTACCTTTATGGTGTTAAATGAAATTACTCGAGTCCTCTTCAAATTACGTTTGGACCATATGCCACCAAATGGCACACTACCAAAGTAATCATGAAACTTCCGTGAATTGATGGGGGTTTTTACACTGAGCAAGCCAGGCTTTTCTTACAGTAAGCTTTGAGTTGATAACAACTCGTTAACGACGAGCTGAAATGATTAAAGACTAGGATGATTTAAGAGTCTGTTTCCCTGTGATAAAAAAAAATCAACTGAACAATCGCATTGCTCCTGCTCATGACACAAACGTAATTTGATAAATTTGCTGTATGCAAAAAAATGGGACTATTGTCAACTAAATAGGTCTTTGATGGCTTTCTGATAGTGCTAGAATCATCAATTTAACTTGAAATTTCACTTCCATGTTCTACTTCCTCTTTATCCGGCTTTACTCCCATTAAGTAGTCGTGCATTATTTTTTTAAGACCTCATACTTGTGTAAAATGTACTTTATTGGAATGTTGCTCTCGTGTTAAGGTACATTGAAATAGCAAGCATACTCAAACTTCCCAACGAAGCACGTATTTCAAATAACCTCCGTCTAGCAAACTAATATCAATTCAACATATCTAACTGAAAAAATCCAGTATTGGGAAAAAGGGAATTATTTTTTGTTTTGTATTTCTCTAGTGGAATCTACTATTGATGGCATTCTAGTTGATGTTAGTGGATATGCTTGCGCCTGCAGGGCATATCTTATGACACCAATTCTGAAGCCAAAGAATCGAGAAGAAATGGGCTATAACATAGGCGCACTAGTTGTCTTATCGAGCGATGCCTCAGTTTACTAGAGCGACGATTTCCATGTCTGCATATAGGACTGCACACAACCCTGGAGAATAATCTCGTCATTATTGTAACAACGGCACGACGTTTCAAACCTTGTTCTTTCTTTGACTGTGGTTTCAATTACCTGGAGCATCTTTGGATTTGATTTACGTCCCGTTTCATTCGGATCAGTTGGGCGAATAAAATGTTTTCAGAATTTCCTCCCATGCTTTTGCATTTTACGTCGAGGTCTTAAGCCCTTGTCAAACGGCGCATGATAGTCGATGATAGTTGAAGCGCGCGCTTCCGTTTGACCACCAACTATCATGCACTATCATCGACTATCAGCAACTATCATTCATTTTGAGCTTGTTCAAATTCTTCATGATAGTCGATGACAGCTTTTCTCGTTTGACCACGCGTATGATAGTTCATGATGGTTTTTGGTCAGCTGTTTTCCCCGAAAATCGGCGGACTCGTTTACTGATGGCCGCCAAAAGCTCCTCGCGAGGCTCAGCTTCAGCTTCAGAAATTCGTTTTTATACCCAAGATAATAATAATGAGAAATAAAATATTGAAAACCAACATTTCCTTGCAAGCGGCAGTGTCCTCCCTCGCAATTCTTCCACCAATTTCAACATCCCCCTTTCGTTTCTCCTTTTAATCCATTCCCTTGTCCGTCCTCTTTTCCACCAACGCTTTCCAGATTCATCCTCCGTACATTCCTCCAACAAATCGATTACTACTAGGCAAGCTGCTTCCCTCTTTCGTCGTGATAAATTCATACTTCAACAAGTTTGTTTGTCTCATGCGAAGCCATTTTAGTGTTCACATTTTACGCGGAAAGAGCCTGGAACTAGCTGCTCCCGTGACTTTGCTCGCTCGACTGCCGGTGAACTATCATCAACTATCACGAGCTTTTTTGGCCGTTTGACCATGCGAATGATTGTTGGTGATAGTTGATGATAGTTTGAAGAGAATCAACCATCATCGACTATCATACGCCGTTTGACAAAGGCTTTATTGTTATATACTTTACTTTCTATATCTGGGAATAACTTTCCCGATCCCATCAGCAAAATATTTTCTTCTTCGCTAAGTGTCCATGCAGATCACTCAAAAAACAGTGCATTCCCCCGTAAGACATAGTTTAACCCTCGACTGATCGTGTCGTAATACTATACACAGGTTTCACTTTTCAAGATTTCCGATGGCTCTCAAATTTGTCGAGACATGTAGCATAAACGCTGTCATATGCATGAATAGGAAGTTGAAAATTATCAATAAGAGTCAATGTTTTGCAATTGTAGCATTAGTTGTGGTTGTCACTGGGGATCTGATATGTCTTGATGGACGACAACAGCCTTTGAAAAGTTTTGTGAAATTCGCGACATTTCTATTACAGCGCTTAAAGTAACGACTTCATGATGTTTCAACTGAAGAAAAAGGTAAACAACCTATTTAAATGCAGGGTTTAATATTTTTTTGTTTGTTTTTGAAGGCTAAAATTATATAGTGTTGTCTATCGATATCATCTTTTACGTAAGAACAAAAAAAATTGAGTTTACTTGAACTGGGATTGACTCGTCACTCAAATTCGACTTGGACTGGGACTTGCCTCGTGATTAGGCCTAGCCACAAGTTGCCGATGAATCCCGAAAAAGTTGCCGATAAAAGTATCTAAAAGTTGTTAGAAAATTGCTATTTTTTTCAAAAAGTTGCCGAAAAGTTGCTGAATTTCCAAAAAGTTGCCGAAAAGTTGCCAAAATTTTTCTGCTTTTCGTACCTTTTTTTGGTGTTAAAGATTAAAAATTCACACATTGCTTCTTATCAAAACTTTATTTGTCAAAGTCCAATGATAATATCAGAGGTTCTTTCCATTTCACTTGATCAACAAATAGTCTATCAGAATGAGAAGATTCATCTAAGTTGGATGTATTGGAATCACTGTAATTGTCCGCCATCTTGAAAAACGTGCAACGTGAAACCGCTGACCTCGTGATAAGGCATCACAAAAATCAACCCATGGGGGGCCCTAATTATTGTATTTTAGAATGAATAAATGTCTATCGAAAACCGACCAATGTGGCTCAAAACGTGAAGAAAGTGGCTTCAAAGAACCTCAAAAAGCCCAAAGTTGCCGAAAATTCTAAAAATTGCCAAAATTCTAAAAAGTTGCCGAAAATCTCAAAAGTTGCCGAAAAGTTGCCGAGCAACTTGTGGCTAAGCCTACTCGTCATACGGTATAAATCTAGAAGAAGCGTATAAGAAAATAAAAAAAAATTTCTATTTATCTCCTAAGACCACTTTTCGTTGCATCAAATGAAAAGAGATGGCAACGTGTTCCCAAAAATGAGATTTAAATCTCAGTAGTTTACAGTTTTTGTGTCTTCATGGTACCTGTGCACCAGTTTGAACATTTGTGCATGGGAATAAGCGTTTAAAAACTGCTTTGATATTCTTGCGCTCTCCGTAGATACCATAAAGTATTGGATCTAACAACGTGTTTAAAAATATCAAAAGTTGCGTGGCTCTCCAGGTGTACTCGTCGTTTGTTACATGGAAGTATCGCAAAGCTCGAATAAAGAAAAAGGGCGACCAGCACACTGCAAACGCTAACGTAAGAGCCGCGAGAGGTTTGGCAACTTTGAGATGCTGTTTGGAACGCGCTGCTGTAAAAGTGTTTTTTATTGGAGAAACCTTTGCGTTAGAGCGCAAAGTCGAGAAGATTTTAGCCTGGGCATAAATCAGGAAGATCAGAGGACCCAGGAAAAAACAAATGGCGTGAATACTGTAATAGATTTGTCTTCCCAAATCTCCAAGAGTGTCGTTGGTGCAGAGAACTGTTTCTTTGTCATCAGCTTGGGTCTGGTATGCATAAAGTAAGGGTGACGCAACAAGAAAGCTAACAATCCACGAAGTGATCAATTTTCCGTACACACTCTTCGGATTAACCGCTATTCTACCAAACGGTTCGACCACAGCCTTGAGTTTCTCGAAGCTTATAAGACAAAGAGTTGTTATGGATACTGTATAGCAGGCTTCAATGACGAAACTTTGTAACTTGCAAGTGATCTGTCCTCCAACCCAGGTCCAATGATCGGCTATCGCGTCCATTATGGACAACAACGCAAACGTGAGATCAGCGACAGCTAAATTGGCTATGAACCATTTCAGTAAACATCCTTGCCTTTTTATTGCCCGGTAGCAAACAGAAAGAACAAGGGAATTTCCTATCACTGATAGGACGAGCGACAGTGAGTAAATTATGTAACCGAATGCGATATATATTTCGCCGTGTTCTGCCATCAATTTGCCTTTCTCCAGTGGATGATCTGTGTGATATATTAGTGAAGGTCAGTTTATCTGTAGGTTAAGCTGGCGATAGCTTCTTGTTTTCATCCAATGCCTTCAAACCAGCAGAGGTCTTTAATACCTTTATGCTCTCTGGATGAGAAGACCAATGGAAACTAGAAACACGCATGGAAACATGTGTTAACGATTCTATTACTGTTGGATGACGAGAAATGTTTTTTTGGCTTGAACACTGAAACAGTTGCGTTTGTAAACTCCAGGCGGAAACTACATTAATTGTATGCAAAAAGATCCAGATTTACAAGTTAAATGTCACAAGAAAATGTGCGAAGACAATTTACTGATGAACAAGACCGGTAGCACGAAATTAGCAAATAGGAGTGAACTGAATGCCGAGATCTTTGGAAAAATTTGAATGAAATGAATACGAGATGTTAATTCTCTTAATAATTTTGTCAGTCATGCTTTTTTTTTTTCCCTCCCTAGGACATCAACTAGTTTCCTCAAAGATCAATCATAATACGTCGCAACATGATTTAATATGATCGATAGCCAAAGTTAAAAAGTACTTTTGGCAGCAAAAATAAAATTACAATGTGGATTGCAATTTGAATTTTAAGGGTGCATGGTATTAAACAGTTAACTTATATCTAACAATAAAAGGGAAAATACTGCAGACCTAATGGACAGGGTGTGTGATATTAGTGTATGATTTCTCAATCGCGCCCACGTAAAAGTAATTATAATTAGAACCCATTAAGTGAGGGTGGGATGGAAGCCGGCTTGACAGAAAAAGAAACACAAGGTTTTCGGAAGGTGGAGGCAGAATGTGACACTAATTAATTGGATGCCAGGTTCCTATTTTGTTTTACAATACATGTCCTTGGCACTTGATGACACTTGCTAATTTTGAGGGAATTGAGCACGAAATGTACCAGTTAGCATTTTTTTTTCTTGTCAGGACTTCATTTTTAACTTTTAGTCAATTGGCTGTGTCCTCAACCTTCATGGCCTTTAATTAAGATTTTAGGAAAAACTTAGGATCCTCAATTACTGTCAGTTCTGAAATATCGATTTTTTAATTTATTTACACCTTTTAAATTTTGCTACCCGATAACTTTTCACTAACGTATAAGATGATGTTTTTTAGAGCACTTAACCTATCATTCATGATTTTGAGATTACAAGACTTGTAAAACCTTTGGCTTCCAAAAAAAAAAAAAAAACGCATTGCTTTAGGAAAATTAAAAGGAAGGGAATCCTCCTATTCTCAAGAAACTTAGTGTACCCCTTTAAAAAGGCCGTGTTGCCACCTCTTGCTCTTCAAAACTGCAAATGCAAGTATTTATGGGGGACAAAATTTTAGTTGCTTATTTCCTACCTCGCCTTTCTTGCTTTGGACTTCAAAGGATCACCCACGACTGATGTAACGGTGATTGACAATGCTCATTAAGAAATGCTAAAAAAATCATATGCGTCATGATCATTTTCAGTTTTGTTTAGCTTGAAATGTTTTATCACTTTTAAGCTGATATATTATTGATGCCACAAAAAAAGTTTTTGCCGACAGTATTAGAGCTCTGCTATCTACTGCACTTGAAATCAGTCCCCGCTAGCAAATCAAGGAACAAATTTAACCAAAACTGGTAGTTCGATTACATGGCAACCGTCGAGGCAAAACTTTCTCTTGCAAATTGGTGAAAAACTCAAGTGCTCTACTATAAGTCAGTCTATCATTTTATATCCCAGCTGTTTCTCTTCATATGTTAATTATTTCTTTGACTTATCGCTTTGGCTGTATTACTATAACTTTACATGATATTACGCCTCTGGATTATCTTTTTGTTATTGCATACATATTTATATGTTGCATAGACGGTCTATTTGATTTTTGAGCTTTCAGGTATAGTCACATTCAGAATACAACAGACAGAAATCGTTGAAAGGTTACTTTCTAAAACTTTAGAGATGAAATGATGGCCTTCAATCGTAACTATTGGTGCTACCAACATTTGTTGCTACCGACTTGAAAAGGATTCTGAAATTTTTAATATCGATATGGTAGCTAAACTTAGGGTTTACCAAGCACTTTATTAATTCCCTGAATATTTATCGGTGATTGCGATCTGTCATCGCCTTTGACGTCGCCAATTACAGGCGTGAAGATCCTTATTGAGTAAAAATAACGAGAAAAGGAGAAAAAACCAAGGAGAGCAAAGCAGAAAAGATGAAGGGTTTTCTTTTTTATTCATACATCGTTGAAAAATTACAATCTAAAACTTTAGAGATGAAATGATGGCACAGTAAGTGACGAGGGCTTAATGGGCGACATAACGCAAGCTTTTTGAAAAACGTAGGCTTTCAGAAGACACGCCTTTGACATACAAGATGACAAATCAGTTAGCATAATTTTATGTTGGGTCTTTTGTGTTCTCTGCTTTTTCGGCCTTCAACCACGAGTTCTGGAATATCAGTATTTTTTTATACTTCGCAAGGTTATAACGCAAAGTTTTGAAAAAGTGTTGGCTTATTGTGACGTTCATTGGATGGCTGGTTCCTATTTCGTTTTAGAATACATTTACGATGACATTTGTAAGTTTTGTAGGAATTGCGTGCAATTAGGAAAAGGATTTGACCACGAAATATATTAGTTAGCGTAATTATATGTTGATTTTTCATTCCTTTAACTGTTTGTCAGCTAAGTGGCTGTGTTCTCAGACTTCTCCGCCTTCAATTGGGATATCAGGAAAGACTGAAGATCTTTAATTACATACATTTACTAGCTCTGAAATATCAGTTTTTTGATAAGCATGAAGATACAATTCCTCTATTCTGTGCTTTGCGGCCAGAAAACGCTGCACTGATGTATAGAATCATGTTTTTTTAGAGCTCATTCCTGATCATCCGCGATTTTATTGTACAAAGATGTAAGCGTTTAGCTGATAAAAAGAAAAATAAATAAACACCATGCTTTGCGAAAATAAGAAAGACGAGGGCTCCACTGTTTTCCATGGCGTCTTATTTATTGCTTTTCAAAACTTCAATTGCAAATATAAAGGACAAGAGTCTTTTCCAACATAATTTCCCACCTTGGCCATTTTGACTTAAAAGGATCACCCATTGCTGATACAACAGTGGTTGATAATGTACAATGAATAATGCCAAAAACCGCATTAAAATCCGTTTTAGCATTGTTTGATTTTAATAGCTTTGAATAATTCTGGCTCTTTCGTGAAAGTTTTTTTTGGTGTTCATTATTGCCATGATCAAAACCAAATCCATAGCAATTAAGCTGGGTCATCATGGACTGCACTGTCAAAGGCAAATTATTGTTCAACGACATGTGTGCTTTGCTCTCTACTGCTTATTGAATCAGCCTCCTTCCAACCAATTGAACAACACGCTTTAAGGGACTTTTGAAGTTCCATGTCTCCTGCTAGAGTTAAGAAAAGAAAGGAAACATTCAGGAGCTCCAATTTTAATTCGGTCTACTCTCAAAGTCCTGGCTGTTTCTCTTCTTATGCTAATGACATAATCATGATGTCACCTTTTGCTCTAGCTGTATTACCGCAACTTAACACAAACTTCAGGATTATTCTTTGTCATTGCATAGATATTTACATATATAGATAAAAGGTCTTTGAAGGTTGAGGTCTAAGATATATTTTCATTTATAATGTAACAGACGACGATGGATGAATGGTTTACGACTTCTTTTCAATCATTACAACTGATTTAATATCTGAAAAACTGTTCGAAGTGTTGGCTAACACGTACACTGGATCCTGTGAATAAACTGCTCAATAGATCATGAACGCGATCTCTGGCGCAGGTTTCTGGTTGAAGATGGAAGTTATTTTAAACCAGCCGTTTCCAGACAAAGCTGGATCAATGTATTAGTTACTGTAAGGTGGTTTCTCCTGAAAATCATAAAATCCTAAACAATTATAGTAATCTTTCAACCTCTACTCTAAATGAAGTTTTAAACGGACAGTGTGCCTTTCTTCTCGGTGCTCCTAACTTTCACCGACCATATCATATTTGATTATATTGATCATCACATGATATTGATCATATTTTGTGATGACTCCTGGGCAAGTTGACCAGGCACTCATGTAGGAATAAGTTGCTTGCCTCAAGATAATTAAAGAAGTGCGCCTTTTTTTAATCAACACGGTAAGACATGCGCCGTAAGTACTTCTAGCGACACAAAACTCTCATCAAGGAAGACTTCATATTTCCTCCATAATAACCGTACAACAGAGGATCTAACCCAGCATTGAGAAAGATCAAAAGCTGAGACATCCTCCAAAACAAACCAGGGGACGCCAAATGAAATTGAAGGAGTGTTCGTATGACCATGAACGGAGACCAACATATCACAAAGGCTGTAGTAAGAGCGACAAGTGTCTTGGCAGCCTTCCTGTGGCGTTTATTAAATTGCGTTAAACACGAGGTGTTTATGATTTTGGGCGCAACTCGTATAGACCGATATATGCGGCTCTGTGTGCATATCATGTACAACATCGGTACAACAAAGAAAATTGTTGTGTGAACACTATAAAAAATTTGCGGAATTTTATTTCCCCTCGTCGTAGTAAGGCAAACAACGTCGCCGTTTTCGTTTGTTTTCACTCGATAGATATAAATCAAAGGAGAGCAGACGAGCAAGCTAAAACTCCACATTAAAATTAGTTTTATGCGTTGACTTTTGCTCCAGCTGCTAATTCGAACGCTGAAGAGGTCGACAAGAGCCATAAGTCTTTGTTGGCTTATGGCCACAAGTGTTGTGACTGTAGTTGTGTAACTCGCCTCGAGCAAGAATCCTTGGAGTTTGCAGGTAATATTTCCACCGACCCATTGTTCCAAGAATCCGATACCGTTAAAAATTGTTAAGAAGGTAAAGAGAAGATCTGCTGAAGCTAAATTTGTCAACAGCAACGTAAATGGATAGTATCTTTGTTTCAAATTCTTGTAGCAGCGCAACAAAACCCATGTATTGCCAGTGATCGATAGAATAAAACAAGTACTGTAAAAGACAAGGAATAGCACCAAAATAGTAGTAGGATAGTCCCCGCTTGTCGTCGTCATCTAGGTTGAGAGGCCTTAACGAAGAATATTCCAGAATCCCACAAACCCGGTCCCTCTACTAACTATGGTTAAACCAACGTTCTGGCTATCTTGGCAGATATGTCCGAATGCGATGTCGCTCAGAGAACTCAGTACAAAACAAATGTAATATTTACCCTCATTGGTTTCTTCTACTTAAAGATTGATGTATAATATATCATTCGACGGCTACCTGTCTTGCCAAGTTAGAGTTTTTCTCGCTTAGTTTGATCAGCTTACAATTCTACAACAATCGAAGTTAAATTCTGTCATATATGATTTGCATTGTAAGTAGAATTTTTGTCATTTCTTTTATCTCTGGGGATTAGGCGGGTCTTTAGAACCCGCGAACTCACATTGCAATTTAAAATCAAATGAATAAAGGCTGATAGTTTCAAAAGAAACTGTTTGGGGCTGCGTCGGTGGGAGTAACGAAATAATTTGGATATATAAACAAAGTTGAAATGGT